TTCACTGCTCGCAGCCAGGCACAAAGTTGGTTCCACTTCCTTCAGAAAGCTCTGATTGGAGACCGTGTTCCAGAAGGTGATCACACTCATGGGCGTCTCCCTGACGCCATTACCGCTGCTGCTGTTGCTGTTGAGAAACACAACCGTCTTCTCGAAGTAGCACCAAATGTAGTCCGGTCGGATGTTGGCAAAGTAAATAAACGAGTCCACGGCCATGGCAATGCGCAGCGATTTGCCCTCCCAGCTGAGCGAAGTAATGTCACTTCCTGGCACCTTCAGCGTGCGATAGATCCTTCCCAGCGGCGAGTAGAAGCAAACCTGGTTATTGTCACGCTGTGCTGGCGGCACTGGCGTCTCCAGCGTGGTGCCACAGATGGCCAGAACGGAGCCATCATGATTCCACTTTGCATCCACATTCCGCATTTTAGTGTCAAAGATGGCGGGATCTGAGCGAGAGTGGATACAAAATTAACATCTGGACAGAAGAATTCCCTTAATCCTCGCACTTACCATCGTCGTTTTCGTTGCGCATTATCTGCACCCTGCCGATCTCGTAGCAAATGGCCAGCACGGGTCGATTGCGACGGCTGGAGGAGCGACCGCTGAACCAGCAGATGCTGGCAATGCGCTGCACCCGAGACGCGTTAGATCCATTGAGCCGCACGCACTGAATGTTGAGCTTCATCTAGGGAAACAGAAGAGAGGATTAGCCAAGGGGATTACTCTAAATCATAGCTCTGATGCTCACGGCAAAGTTTCCCTGATTATCGTACAGATGGCACTCGCCGTTGGCCAGGGCAAAGAGTATGAGACGATTGTCGGGACTCCACTGTACGCCGGTGAGATGCGTGCCCTTGAGTTCTTTGCCAAAGATGCGATTGCCATCCACGGAGCCCACGATAATCGCTCCGTCCTCGTAGACAATGCAGATTTTGGCCCCGTCCGAGGTCCAGCTCATGCTGGCCACAGTGGATTTCTTTCGATCGTTAGTCATCTCCTCGTACCAGGAGCCTTTGTACAGCATCCAGACCATGATGACGCCGTCTGTGTCCGACGAAGTCAGCTTCTGTTGTGCATCGTTCCAGGTGACGACCCGCACAGACTCCTTGTGACCATCCAAAGTCTGATTCATGGACAAATTGGAGACGGCAGCCAGTCCACCTTTATTTTGGCCATTTGACCCTATAGGGGAGATGTGAGAATGTTAATATAAGCCAAATATATTCCTATACCTTTACCTTGATCCAATTTCAAGACTTTCAGCAGACCCTCGGAGCCGGCCACCGCAATGTAACCCTCCTCCTTGTTCCAGGCAATGCAATTGAGCTTCACATTGTTGGGAATGGCAATCTACACACAAAATAGAATTCATTTATAGCCATTTATTGAATATATTTAGTTTACTTACCTTTTTGCTCAGGTAAACAAACATTTTGGGCACATTCAAAGTCGAAATTTTCACTTCTTTTTTCGCTTTGGCCTCTTGTGTTGACAACTAAACGGTGGAGTTGCCATGGATACGGAATAGAGTGGTGTTTGAGCCATAAGGTTGCTGCTTCCCCCGCTGCACCCCGTACCGAAGAAACAGGTAAAAACCTGTTGTTTGAGCCACATTTGTTCCAACCACTAAAAATCTTGGCACCGAGTGTTTTGCAGCGAAGAAAAATCGATTACTTTGCAACACTAATATGATCAGTAGAAACGGTTACGAAATGACTATCGATGACTGTTTGTTTGAAATGTCAAGTTGTCTATCTGCTTATCTGCAAGGGAAGGCAAGGCAAGGCAACAGGTTAGAATGTAATAAAAAGTTAATATTGCTGTCTAAAACAACACCCCATCGATTAAGCAAAACTTAAGATTACAATTTAAGCACTTCGCAAGAAACTAAACACTTCCTATCGGACCCACACCTCCATATCGAGTCGTAGAGATAATAAATTTTACTTTTCGTTTCCGGGCACTTTGCTGTTTTCACAGTTGTAGGGGGAATGCAATTAGAAATCATTATTTATTAACTAACCTTAAGGTATTTACTGATAAAACAAACATAAACTAATGCAAATTCAAGGTAAAATTCAATGAAATAATCACAGAAAGCCTGAGAACACTCAGGCCAGGCGGACACCTCGCTGGAGCAGCACGTGAACTGCCTTGGTGGCCAGCAACATGTAGACGAGCAGAATGAGCACCGATTCAGCTTGGCTGCGATCCTCTGGCTTGAGGAATATGTTGACCCCACCCGTCAAGAGGTTGGCCAGCAGAAAGAATGTCAAACCGTTCAGGTTGATGGACTGGCAGATGGCAAAGCTGCCGATCCTAGCTGAGGCCTGGCCCTCTCCCTCTGCCGACTCCAGCAGCTGTCCCTTCTCCTGGCTATCGACTACCTGGCCATGCGGATCCCAGGGCAGGACACTGTCTATGACAAAGTCCACGCCAAACAGGCCGAGCCACATAATGGTGCTTATGATGGAGAGCGTCCAGACAACGTAGCCAAAGTTACACGTCACCCGGGATATGCCAATGGCGAAGGCACTCGCCGCGAACAGGCACCACAGCAACAGCACCAGGAGGAGCAGTCGCCGCAGCTTCTTGACCATCTCCGAGTAGCTGAGCAGCGTGGCGGACATGAGCCAGCGGCTGAGGTAAATGGACAGCAGGTACATGGCCACGAAGCCGGGCAGCGACACCAGACCCTCACGGTTGGCGCTGAACAACGTCGCGCGCGGCACATCCTCATCCATCACGTAGTCGGAGAAACCGAAAACACTCAGACCCATCTGGTGGACCACCAGGAGACCTAAACCAGGACTAAAATTGCCATAATTTTCCAGCATTACTTCGGTACACGAACTTACCCAAGCCCAGTGGCAGAAGGTGCACATCTCGGCGTGCCAGTAGGCTGGCCAGCGAGCCAAACAACTTCGTCAGTCCGAGCGTGAAGAACGCGTTCATGTCTCGTCCATACTCGTGCTCATCCTGGCCATAGCCCACGATCAGCAGTGCCACGGTCCGCGCCAGTCCCAGCAGCAGCAGCGGCAGCGCAGCGTAAACCAAGCTCCGGCGAAGATCTTTGGTGTGCCGCGTTCGATGCGACACCAGACCCATGGTTACCACAAACAGCCCGATGCCCGTGTCCATCAGCTTGGCGCCGAACGTTCGGCTCTTGCGGTAGGGCCGATGGAAGCTGTGAAAGTCGATGGCTAGTATGCAGACGGCGGTAATCAGGTGCGTCAGGGCACGGACCAGAGTGAACACCGTGGGCCGAGTGCCGCCCAAGTCGAACTGGCTGCGGGTGCAGGCGCGCTGAAATGCTTGGCTGCGGAACAGGAACCACAGCGAGGAGATGAGCATCAGCAGGAGGATGTGGGTGCAGTAATCGCTTGCCACCGTAGCCAGCAGAACGACAGGCGGAATGATGAGGAGAAACTCCACGGCGTAGCCAACACTGGGACTGGAGCGAGGGCAGAACTTCTGTGTGGCAACGCGGGCCACCAGAACACACCAGAATGTGGCCACAATGAGCTGCATGGACTCGGCATTCTGGGAGAAAATCTCCGCGGGCTGCCAGTCGAAGACCACGGCCTGTTGCAGCCAAGCATCGCTTCCGATTTCTAAATTTCCGTATTTTTTTCCGTTGTTGGCGCTGCTGTTGTCCATCGGTACTGGAATCGAAGCTCCCGCGCCAGGAACGGCAATCGCTTGACTGGTCATGTCGACTCACGGACTTCTGAGGCAGCGACCGCCCCGTCGGCTATGCACATCAATATGCTGATAAAACTAAAACTTAATCTACCCACTGATAGAACGTCCAAAACTTATCGGAAACCCAAAAGATAGCATAGCCCACAGCCACAGGTTAAAGCCGAAATACAGCAACACACACGAAATATTTGTTTCGTTCATGTTTAATAATAAAATGAAGTTTGTCGCTTGTTTACGTTATCATCATCAGGTGAGCCCCACAGTATACTCAATTTCTTATCTATGTTGGGCATAAAAAAATCGTTATGAATTTCACGCCTTTTATTAACAGATAAACAAGGTGTGCTATACAGGTGTAGCTACTCTGCTATGTATAATAATTTACCATGCTAAATTCCAGACACTATACAGCAGGACTAATTCCTTTGAATCGGCACACTAAAGCGCAACAAATTCAAATTTGAAACGCTGATTAGCGGGTAAATAATCGGTAGGTTTCAGCAACAAGTGGTCAAATTACGTGTGCCACTTACGCTAATCGAGAAATATAAATCGAGAGAACGATTAGCCCATGTCGGCCCTCCAGAATTGGAACTGTTAGAAATTCCCGATCCTTTTGGCACGGAAGAAGCAACATTTAGAACCCTTGAAGGGATAAGGTTAAGACAAAGTCATTGTTTGGAATTTTAATATTGGTTATAGCAAATAGGGTACACAAGCACTAACCAAATAGTATAGTATACTAACCAAATAGTATAGTATACTATTTGGTTAGTGACATAAGTCAATTGTCAAATGACAACATTCTATTTTCACCCGCGTGATTCTTAATGCTATTTTTGTGGTTGACCTATTTAGTTTTAACCTTATTTTGCAATCAATCTAATACAATTACAAATAGGTTAGAATGAAATGACGATTCGAGTAAAATTACATTTTTAAAGCTGAGAGTCCTAAACAGCAGGTAATATTAAACAGAAGATCAAAGTCGAGGAAAAAGAATCAAGACTTGCGGTATATTTACAGTATATTATTAAACTGAAACGGTATATTTCGAATGGTCTGTCGGTATATTTTATCGATAATTCCGCGGTCACGGGAAAAGAGGCTCGTCTTTTGATAAAAAAAACAACAAAGAGTAGCAATAAAATGTTGTTTAACTTGCAAATAAACAAAACGAGAATGTGGTCGGATATTTAATGTTAGCAGTCCATAAACCAGATCAAGTTTCCACGGCGTGGGTGCGAAAGGAGAGTGGCGGAGGTGAGTGTCTAACGTCTGTTTAGCGGCGCTCACGTGTCTTGGCCTCCAGTGATAAATAAATAATTAATGATGCTCAATGGGATGCTAATGGTTATGTCATGGTTTACTCATTAGAGCATGTCTGTGTATAACAGTGTTCAGGGAACTCCCTGCTTATAGGTTAATTCAACTTTGATTACGTGTTGTTGTTATGCGGCTTTGCCAGACGTGATGTGACGTCATTAGCTGCAGAGGGGCCTGTCCACATACTACGAGCATGTATGACGTATGCAGCGCAATGCCACGCGGTGTCTGTGTATTGATTTTTGCTCTCAGTGGGGCGTAAGGGAATCACGTGAGTTGGCTCTCTGTCCGCCCCCACACTGCGATCATTATTGATGGCAACAATCGCTGTTTGCCCCAAGCACATCAATGTGTCGCCAACTGTGAAAGCGGTAAGAACGCAATGCGGATGCAATGAAAAATGCATTTTGTAATTGTGAATTATAATATGTGAAGTTTACGTAACTAATTGCCCAACAAGTGTAAGCACAGTTCGAAATATAAACAACAGGGCCCGCACCTTTAATGTGCGTGTGTGTGTGTAAAACTATGACACGTGCGCCTATAATTAAAGATGCTACTGTCCGATTAAAAGTTGTCGGCGCCACCAATCGCGTGACCTTTGACCTGGCGTAATGGAATATTACACTTCGGAAATCTCTCGTGTTTCTGTCGATTCAGCTGTCAGTTATCATATGTCAGCAAAAACAAGCGAAACTACACTCATGGCAAACAAAACCCACAACAGTGTTTTTTGCAATCGCATCGAAATATGTTCCAAGTTTTTTCATTCGATATGCGACATGGTGCCATATGATAAGGCTTCAGCTATATATAGCCCCATGGGTCATATAAATGTGTAATTATTCATGTGAATTTTGGATTGCGCACAGTTGATTGAACCTTTGATCCACGGGGCGATGATTTATAGGACATGGAATGATCATAAGCACCTGCACCTGTTCGAATTTTATGTAGTGTTCTAGCACATAATGTGGCATGTAAATCAGTAGGTATTGCAGCGACTTATTTACTATCGTAATCACTTGGATTACGATATTCGGTATAGTGAATACTCTGCTCAATAGACAATTTTAATAACAGTCTTCACATTAACAAGCAGCAATTCGCTTCCCATCCGAGCATTCACTGTATTTTTGTTGTAGACCCCCAAATTACACATCAAGGAACTCACACAATTCATTATACTTATTGCTGGCCATCAGGCAGACACGACTTGTCCTATACCCTCTACAAAAGAGCTGACAGATGACAGATAAGACTTAAGTGTCAGCTTTTGTCCCATATGCCCCACACTGCTCCACCATCGGGGCAACAGTTGAGGCCATTAAGCCTGAAGTGCTATCATTTGTGGGCCAACACAAGCGCAAACCCTACGTTTTTATACGTGTATATATTCATGAGTTATTCACGCTGACATTTCCAGATTATATACATTTATTTTAATGAAGTCGCTCGCTCCGATCACACAATGATTATATTAAGTTCGGTTGCCGTCTTTATGTCTTTGTTTATATAAGAAAACGACTCCCCCGTTGTCGTTTTTGTAAACAAAAGTTTAATGGATTCACAAATATTCAAATATCATAATTTGCATTTGACTTTATTTTTGCTTTGCTTTTGAATTTGTCAAGCCGATTCTGTATTTCCCCGCCGTCAATGGAATATTTTTAATAATGGTAAAACTATTTATAGAATAAAGAACATTGGCCCAGAGGCTGTTTGACTGAATGAACTGACGCCCACACGCGAGCTTGCACACAAATATAGATGGTTTTTCGAAGGAATTAATGTGTGGAGATCCCATCAGTGGAATATTTTCCTCACTAAAGAGTAATAAATATTTTACAGTTTATAATTGTTGAGAAAAAAGGGGGATAATGCCTTTTGCCGTTGAATATGCAAATCAAATGCCTGAACAAGCCCTAATTGCATCGTAAACATGGTTAACAAATTCATTGGAAGTGCACTTTAGGTACAGTGGGCAATTGCACAGTTAGTGCATGGAAATTTATGAAACAGAATTATGGGATCATTTCTTATATGTGTCTCCTTTCGGACTAGTCCGCATAAAAGGGTAATCTGCAGAAAGCAGAACCATTCGCTTGCCAAAACAAATCACATTTGACCACTGTCCCATGGTAGATCCGTCTGGCAGATGCAAATGTTTCTGGCGGGTTTTTTAATGCCAAGGCTGCCTGTCTGTCGACTGTCGTCTGTCGCAACCAGTTGGCAGTTTATTGCACCGAGAAGAGGCTCTTCTGCCACCCACAAGAGAAGGAGACCCCGCAATGCTCCACTCGCTCTCTCTCTCTATGTCTCTCTCCACTACCGGCTGTGGGGCCTGTCTTATCAGCTGTTGCTGCCACCAGTTTTGTTTGATTTGGCCTGCTCCGATGGCTGGTACTCGCGTCGTTTCCAATATACAATATACGGGAACATATACGGATGGGCGGACGCACACTCGTAGCTCGTATGGAGACCTGCGGCTGTGTATTTGTTAGTTTGTTTTCAATACACACACGGGGAATAGGGTAGAGTAGTATATTGAAAGCTCTTTCGATGTATTTTCACTGCGCTGCCGCGCCTTCGCCTTGATGGCGACGATAGATTTTTGACTTTCAGATACAATTTGGCGCTGGCTACGAACGGTTCGGTTGTGATTCCATTTTGTCGCGCGCATAACGTACTTTTTACACCTCACACAAATCGGCTACCGCTCTCTCTCACTCTCTCTCTCCGTCTTTTTTCCGCTGCTCTCTCTTTCACTTGCACCTTATAATTTATAGTATTTAAATAAGTGTTGAACGCTCTCTACGTATCGGTGTTATCTAGAGGAAGTACCGCCAAACAATCGAATATCAAATGTGCGTACAATCCGAAGCGAAGCTAACCACCATCCAAAGTCTAACAGTTCATCAAGCACTCAAATCATCGAATCGAATGTTTTTTATCGTTTGAATCTTATCCACCCATAATTGTTTGATTTTACCTCCCTTTTTGGGTGGGCTATGGTGTAACCCATGCCGGTCATCAAGGGATCGTGCGATTCTGCCATATCTAATCAGGGATTGTAGCTAGACATCCATTGATTGTCGATGGTTCTTTCTGGAAAATGGCAATAAAAACCCAAAAACACCTAGAGGACGTTTCAAATCTCCCTTATCTCGTGATTTAAACTCTGTTCAATCCGGAAATTCTCGAAATAAGTGGAAAGTTTCAACTATACACGGAATCGTACTGTTTGACGACACTAAACGCACGCGGGAAAATAATCAAATTTAATGGTTGACACAACCCATGTATTTTACGTATATTATATGTATTTTAATCATACAGTGCACTCAATCATCGGTCTGTTATCTCCCTAAGTACTTGACCTTGTCGCCGAGACCTGCGATCACAAAATACCAAACAGTTGACCATAATTTATGTGCTGGAATATGCTTTGCACCACAAATGGCACTTCGTAAAGCGAGAGAACACAGCTCCCAAGCGATGATAAGTCTTTGGGTGGCGGCACAGTTTGTCTATGTGTGCGCCGAAAGAGGGCTCGACCGTTAGACCTGCGTCAAAATCAAGCCCCCCCTTCAACAGGCCAACAGCCAGCCGCGCACGGACGCCACAGCCGGGTACAAAGTCAAACAATAGCGACGACAGGTCCGTCACCCAGTGGAACGGGACTGAAATTTGGGTGCTAGTGCATACAACAAACAGAGATCTTTATCTCGAGTGTTAAACAAGGGTTCTTCTACACTTCTTATACCATATGGACGACTGTTATTCCTCACAGATTGATCTTGTATCCACAAGAAGCGATCTTTATCTATCTATTCGTACCATAAATAACTTCCTTCCTATTATTAGATCCATGTTTCATCCCATAAATTACATGTACAATGAACTCTCTCGAAAAATGAAGTAAATTATGCAATAATGGGGTGTTGCCTTGCCTTCCCCGAATACTTAACTAAGTAAATGGTTATCTAATCTTACAACTGCGACTCTTATCTTGCAGCCAGCAACATGACGGAGGGCAAGAACATACCAAACTCCAGTGCGGATGTACCGTTCCGCAGCAAGGAGCTGCGCAAGCAGTCGCTGATCCAACACACGGGCCTAGTGGGCGTCATTGATGAGGGCACCAAGACCATCGGCTTCTCCATTTACACGACGCCCGACTTCAATGAAATTGCAGCCCATCGTGTGGAGCTGAGCGTGATAAGTCCGCAGGATGGCTGGTACGAGCAGGATCCGCTGGAGATCATGGCCTCAATCAACAAGTGCGCCGAGGAGGCCATCAAGCAGCTGCCCGAGCATGGCTTCAGCTCCAGCGACATTGTCTCCGTGGGCATAACGAACCAGCGAGAGACAACCATAGTCTGGGACGCTGTCACAGGCAAGCCGCTCTACAATGCGATCGTGTGGAAGGACATACGCACCAGCAGCACTGTGGAAAAGATTGTGGCCAAGGTGCAGGATCCAAATCATTTCCGCAACATCACTGGCCTACCGATCTCCACGTACTTTTCGGCCCTGAAGATCCGCTGGCTGAAGGACAACGTGCCCGAGGTGCGACAGGCCATACGCGGACAAAGGTGCAAGGCGGGCACCGTCGACAGTTGGATCGTGTGGAATCTGACCAACGGTAAGAGATTCTCAATTCTAAATGTAACTCAAAAGGTGACTCCCCCTTGCTCTTGCGTTTTAGGTGCACTACATATCACGGACGTAACGAATGCCTCGCGCACACTGCTCATGAACCTCGAAACCCAAAACTGGGACCCTGTGCTGCTCAAGACATTCGCCATCAAGGAGGATATGCTGCCCACCATTCGCAGCTGCTCGGAGATCTTTGGCAAGATCACCTCGGAGCGGAGTGCACTGCGCGGCATGACACTGAGCGGGATTATGGGCAACCAGCAGGCCTCGCTGCTGGGCCAGATGTGCGTCAAACCGGGCCAGACCAAGAACACCTATCGCTCTGGCTGCTTCTTGCTGTGCAACACGGGCGACAAGCCCGTCTTTTCGCGCCACGGACTGCTGACGACTGTCGCCTATAAGCTGGGACCGCAGGCTCCCACGATCTACGCCATCGAAGGAGCCGTATCGGTGGCGGGACATGCCCTGTCCTGGTTGCAAAACAAAATGCGAATTCTGCCCGACTCACGCGATGCAGAGAAGTACGCCGAGATGGTTCCCACGTCGGGGGATGTCTACTTTGTGCCCGCATTCACCGGACTGTATGCTCCCTATTGGCGTCAGAATGCGCGTGGCATCATCATTGGCCTCACGCAATTCACACGAAAGAACCATATTGTGAGGGCAGCTCTGGAGAGCATTTGCTTCCAGACACGCGACATCCTGGAGTGCATGCATCAGGAGTGCGGCTACGAGATAAACAAGCTGCACGCCGATGGCAAACTCACGACAAACAACCTGCTGATGCAGCTCCAGGCAGACACCATCGGCATGCCTGTGTTCCGCTCTCAGCTGATGGACTCGACTGCCTTCGGGGCAGCCATGTGCGCCGCCCAAGCGGAGGGCATCGATCTGTGCAAGTTTGAGCCGGAGAAGCGCTACTACGAGAACGTGCACTACGACACGTTCCTTGCCACCACCACGGATGTGGAGAGAAAGGAGCGCTACGGCAAGTGGAAGCGGGCCGTCGAACGCAGCCTGGGATGGGTCATCAAGCAGAAGAAGACGCGCGAGCATACAGAGGAGAACTACCGCATGCTGTCGTCGCTGCCAGCGAGTATATTCCTCATCAGCAGCTTTGCCATGCTGGTGCACTCCTTTGCAGCGACAGCCCAGTAATACTGCCAATCCTATCGTACCCACTCCATGACATTTCGATCGGTTCTCGGTTGTGATTATAATTAATTCTTCCCTTGACACACTGCACTGCCCTGCAATGTTTGTACATAGATAGCTCTTCAGGAAATCCCCTCTAAAGAGTCTAATGAGAAAGATGGTTAATTGTGCTTTAAACTCTGTAAATAGTTACGATAGCCTACGACCCCTTATCTTAGGCAGAAAGTCATTTGCTCTAACCTATTTTAAGTGTATTGTATACTATACCCTATCTTTGTTTTATCGTCCCCTTCCCCAGGTGCGTGTCCGTTCTCTTTAACAATGAAATTGTATATAGCCAAAGGGCACAAGCAATGACTCTTAAAATAAGTAGGTACCCCGCCCCATATTTGTACGTGTACGTTTATATGTATAGTATGTATAGTGATTACGTCCCCTAACTAATAAACATTGCTCTTCATTGCGATTTACCAAGAATTCTCTTATAATCTTTATATATCGCTGATTAGGATTCCTGCGTTTTCCGTTCTCTGCGATAATATAAATGGAACAAAGCTGGAAAAGAGGATTTAAAACGAAGAACTCTTCGTGACTCGTGACTTGGATAAGATTATCTGTGCTAAAAGTATTGGTATTGCTAGGTATATGACTCAACTTATATTTAATTTAAAATCCTTGTTGTGAAATATGGCAATATTACGGATCTCATCTCTTTCCACATCACTTTGCAATATTTCAATCTTTCTTCAGGTGTTAGAGCCCCCCTGGCAGTGTCGCGTGTGTTATCAGCAAACGGAAATGTCAACAACAACAGGCAAATATTTATGACACAAGTAATCGATTGATTAATAGATGGTGGGTGTGTGCTCTGAACTCAATGAGAAGGGTGTTTTTTTTAAACAAATTAACAATTTTAAAGGTGTGTAATAGCTATTAGCGCTATTCCCAGTAAATATCGGATTACAGAAATTGAATAACATAATCTACGTCGTTGCTGGTTAACAGGTAATCTTCGGGAAATCTCAGAAAATATTCGAGCTAAATAAAAAATGAGTTTGCTGGTGGCACCTAGAAGTGGTTCGACGATCTGTAAGGTGTTTAACCTGACGAGTACGAAGCACGTGTACACAGATTCAGTTGATTCCCATGATAATCTTGAGAAGAGGATGGATTGACCAGCATGAAGAATGGTTTGGAAACAATCAAGAAGTTCACATGGCAATGCGCCAACGAGTGCTGTAAAGCCTCTATAAAGACATATCTTTTAAGAGCTGTGGAGCCTCGAGCTAACGGAGTTCTTCCCACACTCTTGTGTGGGACTTGCCAGATATTTATATAAAGGGAAAGAAATATTTGAGTTGATATTTACCATGGCGCTCTATACACATTACAGATCCTATTCACCTTAGCCAGTTTGGACTGTGAGATGGATCACATTTAAATTGGATCTCATCAAACCCAGATCCGCACACACGCTCAGAATTGGTTCTCAAACACACACACACACACTTGTATGAAGGAGAGTTCCAACAACAACAAGCCCTTTACCAGATACAGGTAGACTCAGGTAACAGAACAAAAATAAAAGGTAACAAGAACCATACAAAGAAATTGATTTTCTCTGTTCGGACTGCGGGTCTTCATACACAAACACACACACACACCTACAATGAATCAGTGCAACAGCAACAACAAGAAGCAAGACACCAGAACCGGAATCGAATCCGTTTGATGTTGAAGCGCAAGCGCGCCGCACACCTTTTGGGTCTGTCTTCAAACAGGCAACACACCAACAAAAACACACTCATGTGCACACGGACACAGGAGTGCCTCGCTGGTGTGTGGGTGTGAGTTGGTTGAGCTCGAACCAATTTGATTCACAATTCCCATCGCAACAGGTTCGTTCGATCGTTTTTAGTGCTAGTGCTGGCAATAGTTTTGAACGAAACAAAGCTAAATTGTCTAAAATAAAATAAAAGAATAACTTAAAATTCAACAAAAATAAAGCTGATAATAAAGCTATCATAATAAATGATACCTTGAATTTGGATACCCGTTAATCAAAGGTTTTCTGGGTATATGAAGCGAAAACTAGTTTCCCTTTTTCCCGACATTTAATGTTGAAAAAAAGCTAGATCGGGCGGGAAAGCCGAGCTAAGTTTTTGGCAACACTGATCATTTGTTCTTCAGCTGCGGAGACTCTGTCAGCCGTGTTCGAGTTGCGTGCGCGGATCGGTTGGTTTGTTAGTCTGTTTGAATGGTGTTTTGGATTGGATTGGATTTGGATCGTCTTTTCTTGTTTTTTTGATTCTCCCCCGTGTTTGCTGTGTGTGTTCCGCGTTTCGAGTGCCTTGTTTATGTAAATGTGCAGCCGATAATTATTTATTTATTCCAAATGCTGGCAAATATTGCAGAATTAGCAATAAATTTTGTGAATTCGCGGTGCTTGAAATTGGAAGCGTGAGACCCCGATCCGCACATCGATTATGGACGGTGGTTGCATGTGTGCGTGCCAGTGGTGGTATGCAACATAAATAAGCATTTCGAAGCTAAAGGGTCAAACCGGTTTAGCCAACGCAGACGCCACTGGGGGCACCACTTAGTCATGGAGGAGAAGGAGGAGGCAACATCATCCACAACAGCAGCAGCAGAAACCGAAGCAAAAACAACTGCAGCAGCATCAGGAACAACAACATCCTTGCAACGTGTAGGCTCCCAAGCGAGTCTAGAACAAGCATCTCCCATGTCCCCCAGCAAGTTGGTTGCACCGGCGCCCCATCACTATCATTACATACAATATCCGGCACATTATCACCAGCAGCAGCAGATGCAGTTACAGCCGCCGATCCAGCAGCCAGCCAGCCAATGCCAGTGCCCCTGCTCTTGTGGCCGAGCGCCACAAATGACCCAGCTGCCACAGCAGCAGCAGCAACAACCAACACAGAACGGTTCAATGGCTGTAGCGGTGCTGGTGCACCAACAGGCCTCGGTGCCTGCCACAGAGCAAGCGACGCCAGTCAAGACGCAGTCCGCCCAGTCCCTGCTCAATCACTCCTACCAGGCGCTGCACGAGGAGCAGCAACAGCAACAGCAGAGGGATCGTCTCAATCTCCAGCTAGACACTTCGGTGGGAGCTGGCAGCTGTGACTGTGACCTGGAGTGCAGCTGTGCCGCCAACGGAGGCTCTTCGCTGGCCCAGCACAAGCGAAGCCTGCTGGCGGATGCCATGCTCGGTGCGGATGAGATCACGGTCAGTGAATCCGACAACAACAGCACCATGATTAAGAAAAAGAAGCCACGCTCCAGTGCTGGGCAGTTGCCACCCAAGACTCAGCCCACGAGCGACAGCTGCAACGACATTTATCACGACACGGAGCTGGATGGGGCAGGAGGTTCTGTGCTCTCCTTGGGAGGAGCTGGTGCTCGCGGCAGAAAGTCCCAAAATCTGGATGACAATCGACCGCCACTGCCGCCACGCCCACCGCCCAGGCCACGTAGCAACGGAAATGGTTCCATAGGTGAGTGTCCCGCAGCGCATCAGCGATGCCAAAGGTGAATCACGTATCCATACCCTTTGGGGGATATTCACTGATTTGTCACCCTTTTTTTTTTCTGTCCCAGCCTCCGCGTGGCATTCTGATATCTTCCTCATCCGCATATCTGGCCCCAGCGCCTGCGCCTTGTCTCCATATCTCTCTCGGAGAGAGCTGTTGCAGGTCCCAAATATTTGCTTGGGGGATGGTTCCTTGGCTTCCATCGGCTCGGTTGAATGGTTGGAAGTGTGTTAATGTCAGTCGGGATTTTCAGTTGACACCGTTCCGTTCCTGTTATTGCAACAAACGCACAATCCCCAAAGCACATCCGCAGGTCCCAGCTTTTCCGTACCCCCGCTCCTGCCTCTGACTCTGCCTCTGCTTCCCGCCTCTCGTTTCGCGCAGCTGCCACCAGCAGTAGCAGCAGCAGCAGCAGCAGTGGCATCTCCATCAGTGCCATCAGCGACTTCTGTGTAGATATTTTTCCGTTTCGTTGAGGGGCAAAAAAAAAACAAAAAGAAAATCAAGTGACGAGTGGGAAGGCGAAAAAAGTTGAAATTTGCGGAAGGGAACTGAGTTTGCGAAAACGTGTTCAGGAATCCTCTGCTGCTTCATGCTCTTCCGCGTCCTGTCCATAGCCACTATGTGGGCATAGGGGCAGCCAGTTTATGGCCAGCGAAACGACAGCAAGGCTTCCAGCAATAGCAACAGCAACAGCAACAAATCCCTGCCAAAATGCATGGCTATCCGGTGATGCAGTTCGTGCAGTACAGCATGCCGCCGCCCTGCTCCTGGGTGCCCGCTCCGCCACCGTCCTCCGGCAATGTGGAAACCCATCATCGTGGTACTGGCTTTAGACTCCTCTAATTCCCCATCTTATATCCGTTTTTGTGCTGTTCTCTCCCACTGCAGCCCATCGCCATGGAGCTGGCATCAAGAAGTATGTGGTGTGGTGCCTCATCTGCGGCGGCTTTAGCTGCCTGCTTGGCGTTCTCTTTCTGGGAGTCTACTTCCTGCTGCACTCGTACACCATCACCGTGGGCAACTTTGAGACGGTGCCGACCTTTGTGCCGGCCACACTGCTCATCCTCACGGGCATCTGCATCATGAGCCTGGCACGTCGAAGGAATCGCTATAGCTATCTAGTAAGTGGCAGCACATCATTCCACTCCTCATAGATTATTTGAACCTCTGCTCTTGCAGATTAAACTGTCGGGTGCCTGTGGCCTGGTCTCTGCCCTCACCTGTGCCTTGGTCACGGTCACCACCACCGTGCTGCACATGAGTCGCCTGCAGGCGCTGCGGGAGTGCGAGTACGCCCAGAAGACGCGCACTTGCACCTGCTACTCGGACCTCATCGAGTCCCAGGTAGATCGTGTGGACAAGGGTAAGCATTGTCTGTCGCCTGTGTGGTGTTTAAGCTCCTCCATTTATGCCTTGCCTGTTTCCTCAGAAGGAGTGCGTCTGGTCTTCGACTCCCTCTCCGATTGCGGCGTCGTCCATGGATCGCTCTACTCCTGCCTGCGGGCCATCTTTGGGCTGTCAGTGGCCGGTGTGCTCATTGCCGTCTTCAGCTGCATGCTGGTCTATCAACTGCTCAGTCATGAGCGCAAGAAGATGTACTGGGAGCAGCTGGAGCTGCGTTGCCGCTCCCTCTATGCCAGCCAGGCGCCGCCACCTTCAATGGGAGCTCTCGGTGCACCCGGACGTATGCTCAATTGTCGCTGCTGCGAGCAGTGCCACGCCCATCGGCAGATGACGCTGCCGATGCAGACCACAGCCTATCCCTGGGACGAGGCCACGGTGGCGGCAGCAGCCGCTGCAGCCGGAGGCGGAGGAGCGGAGCAACGCTTTTGGGCGTCACAGCCACCGGGAAACTTTTACTCGCCTAATCCAGGCGGTGACGATGCCTCCGGACAGTGTCGCGGCGGAGAACGGGGAGGAGCAGCGGCCGGCGGACGCAGCAGCAGCGGCTGGAGCTGGCCGAGAATGCCATGGCAGCGCACCACACCGGACACTGGACGACGCTTCCGCCAGGCAGCAGCCAGTCCGGACTCCCAGTATGGTTTCAGCTCAGCCACGGCCATGACGGCGGACGGTAATCAAATGCTGATCGAGGAGCCTGCGGTGGGTGCCACCTATAATGGAATGCCGCCGCCCAATGCCTTGCCCTACGGAGTGTGGGGTCCTCCGCCGCCGTACAGCGATCCCAATAGCCCCGCGAGGCGTGGCTACTACCAGTATCTGCAGCCAACGGCCTGTCTGGCTGGCAATCCCTCAACCACGACGGTGGCCCTCACCCAGGAGCAGCTCCATCAGCAGGCGATGCAGCACCAGCACCAGCATCAACACTCGCACGCCCACGTCCACGCACATCCCCAGCAGCAGCAACAGTTGCAGCTGCAGCGAATCCAAGGCCAGTCGGCCACTCTGGAGAGGATGGATGGCCTGAGCCTGAGCAGTATGACTGGCAACATGAACGGCATGACGTCCACACGCTCCTCCGCCTACAAGTCGAAGGTGGAGTACGAGAACACGCCCTCGGACAGCGACGGAGGCGGAAATGTGAGAGAGAGGGATCGCTGCTCCAACACGCTGCCCACGCGGAAGCTGAAGAAGCGCATCGAGGCGGGCACCGGTGCCAAGAGCATTGGACCTCAGAGCAATCCTAGCCAGCAGCGGCCCAATGTCCAGCAGCTGTTTGCCAAGCAGGATCATCAGCAGCCGCCACAGCAGCAGCAGCCCGCTCAATCGGGTGCGCAGCAAGCACAGACGCAGTCTTCGACAGGCGTGGAGAACAGCGGATATCAGGATTCGAACGGAGCCATAGCCAAGGATCAGGTGGTGGGCTCGCTACTGCAGGACCCTGCTGAGTCGGAGGTTTACTTTGCGGACGTCAGCAGCTGCTGCAACATGTCCGTAAAGAACGACAACTACTACGACAACGCCCATCGGCATCAGGGGCACCATCACCATCAGCATCAGCACAGCAACTGCAGCCACAGCAGTAGCCAGAGCAACGCCAACACCAACAGCAACTCCAACTCCTCAGCGAATGAGGATTATCTGGCACAGAGATTCGGAAGACGCGAGCATTCCATACGCAGTCGTCTGCCCATTCCCCCTCAGGCACGGCTGGAGGACGACTATGAGAGCTCGAACCTCAATATGCCCACGATGAAGGAGCAGCAGCAGCAGCAGCAACAGCTGCAAAAGGAGATCTCGCGCCAGAGCATGTGCTCCGTGGAGTCGGAGGCCAAGACTGAGTTCACTGACCTGTCGCCATCGACGCCCTGCGGTGGATCACTGCCACCGCCACCTGCAAACTTTGCCAGCGATCCGCCGTGCACGCCCTGCACGACGGGACAGCAATCGCCAAGCTTTGTGGCCTCGTTCCCATACTCCTCGGAGTCGCAGTGCCTGGAGGCACATCGTCGCTCCACTAAGAACATCCACGAGCTGCTCATGGCCGGCGGTGGTACGTCAACTGTTGGCGTAGATTCCCACTACGAGGTCATCAACGATAGGAACAATCCAGTGGGCAGTTATCAACTGCAGCGCGCCATTGCCGGCGGCAGCCACAAGCACAAGTCCAAGTCAAAAACGCGCTCGCGGGAGCAGCTGGACATCTATGGCAGTGGAGGCGGAGCTGATCGCTCAGACTGGTCCTCGGACGGGGGGCGTTTGTGAGACAAAGCGTGCGACGAGGTGTTTGTCTAGGCGGAGTGGCGCAGTGGTTTCATTATCATCATTATATACTCAATACGAGACTATGTACTCGTCGATTCTTTAGTGTCCTCTCCACGTCCACCCGCACACACACACACACCCACAAAATATCGTCGCATTTGTAATGTTTGCCATCCAACAGAGGAGCAGCAGTTCCTCCCTCTCAATCTCTTTCTCTCTCTGTCTAACCAACTCAAAGGCCCCCGGCGGCCGTGCACACTTTGCTTTAACTGTTTTACGCGAAATATCCTTTGCATATAGTATATACACATAGTTTATATTGAATATTGAATATTGACTAACGTAAAACACAAATATTGTAGCATTGAATTGAATGTTGAGAAATTGTAGAAATGACAAACACTGTGCAACGGCGATTTGTACTTGGCACTTGGCAAAAATTTGTTTGTAGCCACATCTATTCCCCAATCACTTTTAAAATCTTAAAAAACTCTTCCATATCTACAAACTAATTTTTGCGACGTGCTAACGTACACTAAGAAATTTACATTTTGTCGCACAGTGTACGAATATTATGAATATTATTATTATATACAAATTATGTTATATTTACCTGCGTATTTACATAGTTGCATACATATACACACACACACTTACACACATATACATCCATATATAGCATATACATAGTTAGTTAAATGTTAGAGCGCAAGTTAAATTTATTAAAGAACAAACTATATCCGAAGCATTTTAACAACAACAAATCCGCGAGTGTTTTGAAATTGCGGTAAATTCCCAGACCAGGGCTGCGGCATCAAAGCTTTGCATATCGATAGTACACTTGGCTACTATCGATCAATATGAAGATCGTTAAAAACAAAGACGCTATTAATTAAAATTACAATTTGGAATTTAATGACTACGTCGTACAGTACAACTGGGATTACTATGACTATGGCTTCCTTGCGCCGCTCTGTCAATGGGCCAGACTGTGCAGCAGCATAAAGAGAGCCGTGGCAGTGACACTGAGGCTAACAAGAGAGGCGGCCGCGTTCTTCCGATCCGCAATGCTGCCGTGAGGAATCTCATTCTCCGAATCATCCGGCACTGGCTCCGGTACGGCCAGCTCTTCTAGTGCCAGCACTGTGGCCTCGTTGATGGTACGTAGCAGGGGATAGCTCTGACTGAGTCGCCGGGGCGCACTGCTAACCACCTTGAAATCTTCAAAGGTATCGCTATCCAGCTCACAGTTGCCAAGGAAGTCATCCGTGTCCGCCGACCAGACCATGACGCCCGCCAGACGCTTGGACATGGCATACAGCACCTTGTTGGCGATGGAACGCGAGCTGTCGAACGTCACAACACTCACATCTTGCGTGAACACATTTCGCTCGGAGCGAGCCAGCACCTGGCTGGTCTGTGGGTCCCACTGCTTGGTCCAGCCCGAAGTCTTGTTGCTCAGTATATTGCAGATCTCATTGTATCCCAGAAAGCCATCCTCGCGCGTGTATGGTCCGCGGAAGCCCACACCATCGCTGGCATCATTGAGATTTCCCTCGGAAACCGTCTTGAAGGTGCGTCCATAGAAGGGGAGACCGAGAACCAGCTTTGATGGCGGCGCCCCGAGCTTCAGCAGATAGTCAATGGTGAATTTCTGCAATAATTCAGGTACAATTAACATCTTAAAATGGATTACTTTGTAGCAAGACTGTTACCACACTCAGGGGATCCTCTGCGGGTGCTGCAAGTGGAGAATTGTAGCCCACCCGCTGGTCCCAGCTGCCATGATAGTCGTAGCACATGATGTGCAGATAGTCCAGATACCGCGATATTTGTCTCACATCATACGCCTCGTCAATCACCTTCTTGGCCGCACCAATGGCCGAGGTGAGCAGCAGTCCATGGTTGTCAAACTCATCGCGCAGCTCCTTGGTTAGAGCCACAAAGTTCTCGCGATCGCTGGGCTTGCCACCGCGCTGCGTGGGATACTCCCAGTCCAGGTCGAGGCCATCGAAGTTGTATTTGCGCACAAAGCTGGACACCTGCTTGACGAAGCGCTCCCGCAGGTAGCTGTTGCCCACCAAACTGGAGTAGTTGGCCGAGCCCTCGTTCCAGCCGCCAATGGCCAGAGAGACTTTCAGATGTGGATGGCTGCGCTTCAGGCCGGTCAGCTGCTCGTAGCCACCCTTGCCGTACTGCTCCTTCAGGTCCTGCCAGGGATCTAAGCAAAACGAATTAGCATAAGGCAATATATCAATCGAAGTTACTCCCCCTCTTACCCAGCGATTTGATGGACGCCTGCGTTATGTCGAGGCCGGCAAAGGCATACACCACATGGGTGCACAAGTTGGGATCAAAGTTGTCTATGGCATAGGCACCCTGCTCAGGCCGGTACACAGCCCATGTGGATATGTAGCAAACAACCACCTTGTCGTGCGAGGGACCTGCAAAAGTGAGATGCAAAATATGTCAACCCCTTTTGCGGTTAGCCACTGCCATCGCACTCACCCGTCCTGGCGTCCACTGAAGCCCACAGTGTGCACGAAACGTATGCCAGCAGCAGAAGGAGCCACAGCTGCGGTGCTTCTCCCCATACCTCTCTCTGACGCAACGTTCGCATCTATGGAAGAGAGACATGAGAATTGAATTGAATGAATTTGCGTGGTCAAGCGCCACTATGTAGCGACAATGTGCGACAGAAACATTCTCATAATTCCAATTCCGTTCAATTACGAACTTTAATTGAACGGCGGCTTGAGGCGGGAATGAATGCAGAAAAGTGAAAGGCAAAAGAATTCTTAGAGAGTAGAATCAGTGGAACTGTGAGTCATTCACTGCCATTTACGAGTACTCCGTGTGCTAGAATCTCATTTCATCATCGAACTGACAGACAGCCAGCCAGCCAGAATGTAATCAAAGACTTCTCTTTGTTGCCGACTCTCCGGAATACTGGTATTCCATGCAGTTATCACGAATTCGTTTCGGCAACCATCTCAGAAGGGGAATACTTGAACCCAATTCGCATGGGACTGCTGTGTGGGTTGTCGAACCTGATTCTCAACTTTCGCCTGAAGGCCCTTAAATAGCTGACGACCGGCGGTGACAAGGTGCATCGCACAGAACGGCAACGCAATGACCAACTAAAGAAGCTGATGAATCACGTTGTATCATGCATTTGCCAAACTACAGACATACCAAGCAAGTTTTTCCACCCAGAGCTACTACTTCTGACTGTGTAAAGTTCGCTATCTGCTTTGGTTCGGGCTCCGTAAACAACTTAACTTTTGATGTTTTTCGATAAGAAATGGCATGAATGTGCACTTAGGTTTTGTTGTTCGAGTGGAAATTGGTTGGAAAAGCAACTCTTAAATGGTTTCACTTTCCGGCTTGCTTTTACAAATTTTTCATTTTGCATATTAATTTGTGTTTTGTTTAGCCTCGAGGTTGGAGCAAACCGGAATTGAGCGTTCATCACGCGTTGAACCCCCTGACAAAAGAAGCCGCAAAACATGTGAAAACGGAATCAGAATACGAATATCAACGAAATCGAGAGGAAAACAACATCAGAGCAAAAACAAATTCCACAGAGGATTGAACTATGCACATACATAAATAAAAATGTAGCTATGTATGTAATTATGTATTATGTATAGGAAGATTCACGAAGATTCTGTTTAGGGATTCGAACTTCATGTACGTAGATTGCATTGCGCATGCGTAGCTGGATGAGAGGGAGAGGAAGAGGAAAGCCAATTAGCACGTAAACACACACACACACACACTGGAGGGAGACGAAACCTCAACTCCGAAATGGGCTGGGCGAAGTCGTCGCACAAGATATTCGTTAATGGAAAGCATAACAAGTGGACCGTCGTACGATGTGTCTTCGATTTGAATTGCTTATACACGTACAATGTTTTATTGCCTGATGCTTAAGTTTTATTTTATTTGGAGTTCTGTTCCGCTTAAACTGTCTGCCACGCACGCGCCGTCGTAAAACTTTGTACCGCCTCCGTCGCCTTTCCGCATTTAACTGAATAACAAAACTCGTCGTCGTCGCCGTCTTCGTTGTCGTGGTCTTCGTGGCCACAGCTTGAAATATATATATGTATAAAAAGCAACTGAAGCCGAAGTCGAAGCCGAGCCACCATCCCCCAGCAGTCGCAAGAGCTCATGTCGCCAAAGAGCCAATTCCAAGACGGAGTTAAGTTACGCTCGGAGCAAGCATGGAGAAAAACCTAAGAGAACTTTTTATTATGTACAAAAAACATGTATTCTGGAATTAATAAATGGCAAAAATTTCAGATTTCAGTAGGCTAACGTTACTCTAACCAATATGGCTTTAGAAAACATTACTCAAATGTAATCTTTAGACTCTTATCATATTGAAAAGTAAAAATAATTTCGTTTGCATCGTAAAACTTTAAATTTATTTTTGTTTTCGAGCATTACGAAGTTTTTAATTTGGGGAACAGCATTTCTTGCTTTTAGGAAACTTTGCTTCAAAATCAATATTTCGAATCGGAGTGTTTCAAAAATCACTGAAATCACGGCGCGAGAGTAATGTTAACCCAAAGACATCGATAGTGCGTCCGTCGGTATCGATCCATCGCGGCCAAGCGATTGAAGCTGAATATTCCTGATAGCCCTGAATATTCGTTTGGTTTGCCATCACTGCCTTCGTTTCGATCTTAACGCTCAGCACCATGGCTTGTGCCGCCATATGTTCTATAGCAACAATCTTCTGTGAGTATGTCTTAATGATACAAATTCATTTTACATTTGATAGGCACACACTTGCCAAAATGCACGTAGTCGCAAGTAACATTTGTGATACTTGCGATACTATCGATGTGACGCATCGCATATAATTTTTAATTGTACCAAGCACAACACAACAAGACTAAACTACCCATCGCTAAGGAAATATAATAATATCTATAAATTCTTCGAAAAAGAACAAATTAGCTCGTACCAAACTTTAATCGAGTTCATCGACAAAATTTGAGTAAAACTGTAACAAGTTACATATCTCGACGTGGCGATTTCCACCTTGTAAAGGCGGGCGGCAAAATAAGGCAATTCTACCCAAGGGTAGAGCGGTAACATAAAACCTCAAAAACAAAAAAAAGGGGAAGTCCAGAATAAAGAATCACGGTTTGATTGACACATTGTGACGTTGCAGAATGGATACGGATGAGGATAGTAATGCTGAAGCGAAATCCGCGCGCAAGCGCCAGAAGCGCCATGATTCCGGTGACGAAGATGAGAGCTCCAGCAGCCGCACCGCTGCAGGAGATGCCACCATGGACTCCCCGGCAGCACCAGCTGTGTAAGTACATGGGGTTATACGCCCCAACAAGTGCGTAGTTCTTGATTGATTTTTGTTTGGATTTGGCAAAAAGAATCGAAGAGAAAAGTGCAGTCGTAAGCGAGACTGAAATAGGAACCCACAACAACAACGTCACCAACACAAGCAGCAACGTCGATAACGGCGATAGCAACAGAGAGGGAGGAGTGAGCTGCAATCTAATTTTGCCGCAGGTTGAGACTGCAGAGGGCAACGACGAATCAATGGCACCGCCCGAGGAGGCTGGCACAGAGATTAATCTCTTGCAGGGTGCGCTGTCGCCAGCGGCAGCCAGTGCTGTGCTTGCCACAGAAGCTGTGCCTCCTGCCAGTGATGCCATCGACAGAGATGATGATGATGCAGTGCTGCCCAGTGTAGACGAAGAGCCCGAGGTAGCCGCAGAGGCAGCTGAACCCAATCCCATACCCAACGACGACGACGAGCAGTCATTGAGTGATGCCGATACCGTCAACAGTCGCGTGGAGGATGACTTTTGGACCCACAACAGCAGCTCCAGCAGCTCCAGCAGCAACAGCTCCAGTGATGGTGGAATGGTAAGTCCTGTAATAATAATTTCACTTCTGTTCTCTTCTGACACTCTTCATCATCTTTGGGCGGGCACCAGATGGACCACAGTGATTCGATTGAACCGGAGCCAAATGCGACCAACCGGGAGAACATTGACTTTGCCGTAAACGAAATAATGTACAAGGAAAAACCGCCATACACCTGGATCTCGGCCAATGAGTTGATGCAGCGCGAACACAATATTATCAATCGGATTGGATGGCGCGGCGGGCACACCTCGGTGCAGAGCTTCGGGCGAGGATTTTACGGATCCAGGCATGTCGTGGAGCAGATGTCACTCCGGCAGACAATGAAGAAACACAATGGCAGCGTGAACTGCCTCAACTTCAATCGGGCCGGAGATCTGCTCTGCTCTGGCTCCGACGATACACGAATCATCGTCTGGGACTGGGCCAACGAAAAGAAGCTGCACGTGTTCAAGTCGGGCCATCACAAGAACATATTCCAGACCAAGTTCATTGACAGTGCCGGCTGCCTGGACATTGTGTCCACCAGTCGCGATGGGCAGGTGCGACGCGCCGTCATTCCTCCATCCGGTGGCGACACAAAGCCCACGCGACTCTACACGCACAGCGATGCTGTGCACAAGCTCGTTGTGGTGCCGCACACCAAGCACGAGGTTATGAGCGCCGGCGAGGATGGTGCCGTCAAGCACTTTGATCTTCGCACCAGCACATCGGCCAACACCATGCTGAAGTGTCGCTACAACGATCCCAACAGGCGGGACCAACGGAGCCGCGTGCGTCTCTACAGCATTTCGCATCATCCGTTTGCGCCCGAGTTTTGTGTCAGCGGCGCTGATAACAATCTGCGTGTCTACGACAAGCGCAAACTGCCAGAGCCCATCCACGAGATGACCCCCCGAGGCGTTCGGGAGGTGAGCAAGTTCACCGACCAAACGGGAGACTTTTCATTTGTGTTTACTTCTCGTACCCTAAGATAAAAATCACGGAAATCACTTGCGCCGTCTACAATCACAGTGGCAGCGAGATCCTGGCCTCCTACAGCGATGCTGGCATCTTTCTCTATGACACCCGCAACTACAAAGAGGGCGAATATCTTCATTGCTACGAGGGTCACGTGTAAGTCATGCTCTAGATTATTGTGGTCTGTTCTCCTGCTCACCGATTGCCACACAGAAACGATAGAACCATCAAGGGCGTCAACTTCTTTGGACCACGATCCGAGTACGTCATCAGTGGCAGCGACTGCGGTCACATCTTTTTCTGGGACAAGAACACAGAATCAATCATTAACCACATGAAGGGCGACATGGCGGGTGTTGTCAACTGCCTGGAGCCGCATCCCTGGATGCCAGTTCTGGCCACCTCGGGCCTGGAGCATACTGTCAAAATCTGGACGCCCGATGCACCCGTAAAAGTGAGTGTGTTCCAGCTGCTGCCATTCAATTAAATCATTCAATCAAATCTTTCCTTTTGCAGCAAATCCCAAAACCCGATGGGCTGCGTGAAACGCTCTATAGAAACTTTCGACGCAGCATTAGGGACGACGATGCCAGCCAACAGGGCCTATTATTTTTTCAACAATTTTTGGATAATCCCTCCACCATGGCACACTTGCATAATCGTCGCCTTCGCCGTCGCAATCGTGCTGGAGCGTCTGCTGATGCCGCACCTGGAGCCTTGACAGAGCACGACCAAAACAGTAGCAGTGACACCAGTTCCATGTATCGGCGACGCGACAGCAGCAGCTCGGAGAGCTCCCACGTCGAAGCATATTCATTGCGCTGCAACACGCAATAAGCCAAATCCAAAGTTTAGCTACAAAATATCTCAACATCTCGAGTGGTGGAAGTGGAAATAGATACACAGATGCTGCAGTCAGATTCTGAAACGAGCTGATCTGCGAGTTTCTTTCCTTTGTTTGTTTTCTTAGAAGCGTTTGGAATGCTGTGAATTTGTACTTGTAAAGAATAGGCCTGCATATATTATATTATTATATTAATTTGGAATAATGTTTAATAAACCACACACACATGTATTGAAATCACTCAGTCAGTCCCTCAGTTCAGTCGTTCGTCTGGCAGATGAGCGCCACGCTACGCTTCACCCAGTGTGAGGGCTTCGCTTGGGTATTGAGCAGCAGCGGCACCACATAGTTCGTCGAGTGACCTGTGGTGGAGAGCGTGCCCTTGCGTTCGCCTGTCTTGTACAGGGGACAGCGATAGCGCGAGCCCTCCAACAGCTCCACAATGAGCACGGGCCGAAAGAAGATGACGGGCATGGCATAGATCAGTATTTTGGGATGCTGCTCCACCAGCATATTCTGCTCCCACTCCCAGCGTGCACCCTCCACGAACAGGCCGTTGCAGTAGACACCATCATCCGGGGGCGATGCCTTCGTCTCCACCTTGAGCACATCGTAGTCAAAGGTCAGCGTGTCAATGGGAATCTTGTACTTGCGCGCAAAGTTCTGCATGGCTCCAGTGAGAAAAGCCTGCGTGAAGAAGAACCCAGACAGCCAGAAGGTGGGCGGCTTGCCGTGCATATGCCAGTGGAACAGCCAGTTGAGGCGCTTGTACAGATCCTGGACATACGAACCCAGTGGCTTGAGACTCGGATACGACTTGGACATCCACTTGAGCGGTATGCGATTGAATTTCATTGCTGTCATCACATTCTCCAGATCGGGTGTCATCACAATGATGCCCTTGATGCCCATGGCCAGGTCCCTGCAGGAGGCACGAATCTCCTTTTGTAGCTTGAGGAAACGTTCCATTTCCTGCACCACAACCGTGTTCATGGACTCATTGTAGTCCACGGGATACTTCTCGGCCGCAGCCTCAATGTCCATGTCCGCCGGCATATCCCCCTCGATCTGCTTGATGGTGTTCAAAATGATCTGCTCCACGCTGACTCCAGCGCCTGCGGTGCCTGCCGCCTCGCTGCCCAGCAGCAGGATCATCGAATCGAGCAGCGTCTTTGTGGTCTGCAGATCTCGCGTTATGCCAGAGTTCGCATGCAGACCGTAAACCTCTGGCGGTGCCAGCGAAGGTATATTATCCTCCAGGTAGCGCAGCATCTCGCGGTGCTCCGTTTTGCGTGGCAGGATGTAGCGATCGTCTGTGGCGAATCTATAGCGATTGTCGGACACCACCTGGGGATTGCAAAAGTCTGCCAGAATCGTGACGATCGCGCGTCGATCCCAGTTGTCTGTGACACGACCCCCATAATTGCACTCGCTGGTCAGATACGAAATGGCATCGTAGGGCACGTGTTCATATTGATTGAGAAGCATCTAGGGTAAATGAAATCTCAACTGATTGATGTCTCATGCTAAAAGTGCACTCAAACTCACGCTCAATTGCAGCACAGAGATCTGCAGATCAGACTCGTTGAATCCGTAGGCAATGTTCCAGCCGAGTGGGCCGTACTTGCGTCGTTCCTGCACCACCGCATGGAAGAAGCAAATGCCATAGAGCAGCCGCGTGAAGGCGCGATCCTGCTTGGCACAGCCCGCATAGAACTCGTACTCATTGATTGGCTCCGAGTTGTAGGAGCGCATTAGGTTCTCCCTCAGGCCAGTGGGCGGTTCATTGGTCATCTTGACGCCATTCTGCAGAATGGTCACCGGGAACTGTGGCGTCGGATAGGCAGTCAGCCAGAGGCGGAAATTTGCTGCGGGAATTAAAGTTTAAAAGAGAATACAGAGTAGCCTTTCCATCACTTACGAACTGTGTTGAAGGTGTCCATGTTCTCCCACATGTACTCCAGGGCGGGCATCCAGGAGGCAGCCAAGTGGCAGTTCTGCAGGCACACCCAGTAGCCCATCTCCTGAGCGCTCTTAATGAGCGCAGTGGCAATGGGGCCCTGACCCTGGCCCAGCGAGATGCTCTGGAACGTCTCCTCCTGGCCCATTTTCTCGGCGAATGCTAACAGTGAGCCCAACGGATCAGCGCCCGGTGAGAGGATAAACACGAGCGGAGTCAGCGCTGTGGAGTCGGCGTAGGATTTGGAAATGTCAAACTCTGGCGGCGACACATACTGATCCCCGATGGTGATGGCAATAAATTTGCGCACCGCCAGGAAGACAGAGTCCGGGCGCAGGGCCTTCAGCACGATGATCTTCTCGAAGGCTGTGGTCTTGTCGTGCCACGGCGCAGGCAGCGGCTGCACCTCCGGCGAGGCATGATCGTAGATGGTCTGCCAGGCGGACAGATTCCTACGGAATGCATCCACAATGCCGCGCAGCTCCTTTAGTTCCTCCAGCCGCAGCACGTTCAGCCAGACGGTCTCTGTGATCCAACTGGGATCAGGGTTGGGCGGCATGTGTGTGGACTCTTTGGCATTGGTGACCAAATGCGCCAGATGCCGCATCTCCACCTGGCCCGTGCCCAGCAACACGCGTGCGGTGAGTATAAACGAGAAGAGCAGCTTGTCCTTCTCGAAGATGGAGCGGCAAACGTTGTTGTAGAGATTCTTGGTGAATCCATCGACCAGAAACTTGATGCGTCGCGGCAGATCCTTGGACTTGTTGGCCGTGTCGATGGAGTACATGTACAGATTGATGTACCAATTGAGCGAGAACTGGTACATGGGATCGATGTTGGGCAGATCCGTGATGGAGTAGTACAGAATGGACGAGTGCACGGCCACCGGTTTGTAGTTGAGTCGGAAAGCCTCTATCTTGGCGGACGTCTCCTTGGCCGCCTCTTGCTTCTCCTGAATATCCTTGGACAAACCCTTCGATTCGCCCAGTATCTGTATGGCAGCCTCATTCTCGAGTATGTCTCCCTCGCTGGCGGAGAGTGTCTTCAGGATGAGGTTCTCGGCATCGCGCAGTGCGCCCTTGTTGGCTGCAGCCTCTGTGGTGAGTGTGATGCGCAACTCCTGCAGATCGGGCCGCTCCTTGGCCACCACAATGCTCAGCAGCTGGTCCATCAGTGCATTCTGGGTGAGGGCAAAGTTAATCACCGTCACCTTGTTGAAGGTCTCCGGCAGAAAGTGCGGATTGCGCAGATTGCAGGTCATGTACAGCCGAAAGTTGGGGGACAGCGGCACCACCGACTCGCCCAGGCTGATGTGCTTGACGCCACCCTGAATAAAGGTCTGATGCATGAGGATGGGATCCAGCGGCACCTCCAGCTCCTCCTGCACATTCTCAATGATCACAGGAGTGCCGTACTCCATGGCCTCAGCGATGACGCGCATGTAGTTGCCCTGATTGAACTTGACGCAGTTCAGACGATTCTTGCGCTCCATATTCTTCAGCCAATTGTTCGCTTGGCCCTGCGGATCAATGAAGAGACTGTAGCGACTGGAGCTGGACACTATGATGGCATTCTCGCTGGAGAACTCATCGTTGGGCAGGCCGTCCAGCTGCCAGTTTTGGATGGTCACCTCCAGTCCGAGCACCTCCGTGATGGAGTACTTCTTGGAGCAGGGAATCTGCAGGCTCGTCACCTTCTGGAACCAATCATTAACGCACTCGGTTCTCGCCTGCAGATTCACCGCGGACAGGTAGGCAATGATGCCGCACGAGAGCAGCACATCGCCAGGCAGATGGTCGTACAAATCCTGCAGGTCATCCGCTGCCTTGTTCCAGCGCGACTTCTCGCCGCCCAGTCCCCCGATGAGCGCCTCAGCGCGCAGCAGCTTGTTGCGACAGTTCTCCGCGTGCTCCTCGGTCTTCTTCATCTCCTCGTTGGCCTTGTCCAGCTCAATGTTGAGCAGCGCCACCTTCTCCTCGAGCGCTGCGGCCAGGGCACGCTTCTCCGCGAGGAAGCTCATGGTGTCCGCGTATTCCTTTTCGGCACCGGCCAGCTTTGCCTTTTTGGGTGCCACTACCTTGGCCACATCGTCGTACATGTCCATGGCAATGATCCACTGGCAGAGACCCTTCGCGGCACTCGAGGCCTTGGCCACCACCTTGGGATCAAAGTCCTTGTTGGGTATGAACTCCTTGCGAATGCGCTTCATGATCTCCACGGGAATGTTGTCCTTGTCGAACTCCTTAAGAGCGGGCAGGAAGTTCATCTCGCCCAGAAGCCGCTTGCTGGGTCCCCAGTAGTCCATCACCATCTTACCCGACGCAGGATCTGGCACACGATCCGCCGGAATGGCCTTGATCACGCACACCGCTGCCATGACCAGCTTGATGACCGATGGCGGATTCTTCATGGACTTTACGAGCGTGATGTCGGCGGGTTTCAGTGTGTTGAGGGCAGCCAGGGCATCCTCCAGCACGGGTATGGCCTTGGCCAAATCCTTTTCGCATTCGTTCTTCAGCACCTGCGCGGCCACAGCCTGCACGGAGGCCACCTCCTCGTCCCGCTTCACCTGCTCAGCGGCAGCACTGGCTGCCAGCGTCTCCTTGTTGATTTCGAGCATCATTTTGCGCGAGGCCTCCGCCAGAGCCACCAGCTTTGGCTGCAGGGCATTCAGGTCACGCTGCATAATGGAAATGGCAGCCGCTGCATTGGCCAGCGTGTCCAAGCCCCCAATGTAACGCATCTTGGCGAACATTGTCTCGCTCTGCTTGCGGTCGATGAGTGTCTGAAAGGAGCGTATCAGCTCGATGAAGGAGGCATTCGTCTGGTAGATGTGACGCCCCGACTGTTGGCAAAAGGCGCGCGTGGCGCGGGCAGCCGTCGTGTGGAAGTACTGGCAGGTGTCGACAATGGCCATTTTGATCTCCTCCGAGGGCACATTCACATCCACCAGCGACATCTTGGCAATCATCTGCAGCGCCTCCTCCGGCCAGCTGTCGTACCAGTCGATGGTGCAGCAGTTGACAAGCGACGGGTAGAGGCGAACGCGCGTGCGCAGTGCATCCCCAATGGGCGAGAAGCTCAACACCATGTGCAGCTTCTGCTTGCACCGATTCACAAAGAAGGAGAAGACTTGCAGCGGCGACACATCAATGTTGCGATTGCCGCCCTGTGCGGCCAGACGCACCATCTCCAGCACCTCCTGCTTCTCGTCGATGGGGAAAATGTTGGGCACCTCGCCC